GTGGTGATGAGGAATCGAACCCAGGGCCTCATGCATACAAGGCAAGCACTCTAGCACTGAGCCACCTTCCCAGGCCCAAAGACCTTGGGTATCTTGAGTCATGTTGCTGGAAGAAAATGAAGATGTGTTTGAACCTACAGCTACTGTGACCAGAAGTTCTTTCATTTGTTTTGATAGCAGGGTTGTGTTTCAATTCAGGTCTGGTAGTTGACCACGATGCCCTGGCAGAAGCTCTGAAGAATGAGGTCATTAAATCTGCAGCACTAGACGTGACATACCCAGAACCCCTGCCAAGGTAACAGGGCCAGGTGAAGCCCAAGTCTCCTCTGCCGAAAGGGTGTCGGACAGCTGCTTCTGATGGCATAGGAGCCACATCCCCGCAGCCTAGGACTGAGGAACAGTGGCTCTGCCGTCCCACCTGTCTGGTGCAGCAGACTTTCCTGCTACTAGTTAGCATCTCTGAGATGTGAGGTGTCAGGTGCTCAGAGCCCCAGACAGCACACCCACAGGTTCTCACTCTCGGGTCAGAGCAGCCTCACACGCACTGTTCTGGCACCTAAGGGTGGAGTTAGAAGTTCTCTGTCACAAGCCTTCGTGTCTTTACTGTGTTTCTTCTTCATCTTGTGTTTGATGCTAAATATTCCTATATTCTGTGACTACAGCTATGCAAATACATAGCTTTAGATATTAAGATCCTGTGGAAATACAGTCTTTCTGTGGTTTGTTTGTTTAGCGTTCCTGGGGTTTGCACTTGTTATGTAAACACTGTACCACTTAAATCAGCCAATTTTTTGTTTGTTTGTTTTTTTTGTCAGTCGTGGGGCCTGAACTCTGGGCCTGGGCGCTGTCCCTCAGCTCTTCAGCTCAAGGCTAGTGCTCTATCACTTGAACTACAAGTGCATGCGAGGCAAGCACTCTACCACTGAGCCACCTTCCCAGCTCAGCCCCAGCCATTTTTGCCGTTATTTTTTAGATAGAAACTCTTTTACCTGGAGCTGGCCTTGCACCCAGCTCCTCCTATCTGGGATTATAGGCATATTACGCCCCCCCCCCCCCCACCACCACACACACACTTTGATCCAGGAAGACTTAAGATGTGTGTGTGTGGGGGGGGGGGGGGAATGGAGTTTGAGCTCAGGACCTGGTATTACAGGCATATCCTAACACACACACACACACACACACACACACACACACACACACACACACTTTGATCCAGGAAGACTTAAGATGTTTGTGTGTGTGTGTGTGTGTGGAGTTTGAGCTCAGGACCTTGTATTACAGGCATATCCTAACACATACATACACACACATACACAATTTGATCCAAGTAGGCTTTTTATGGTAATGTTTGAACTCAAGGTCTGTACTTGTAAGGCAAGAACTCTACTACTTGAATCATACACCAGCCTTTCTTCTTTTGGTGCTGGGGATGGATCCCAGGGCACTATATATAGCACCAGTATATAGCAAATGCTACATACTTAGCTACACCCCCCAGTTTGCTGTGTTTTGATTTTAGTGAGTCAACCTTTTAGGATTAGAATCTTGGCTCTGTCACTAGGTAAACTAGACATTTGTGTGTCTGTGTGTGTGTGTGCATGTGCGCGCATGCATGTGTGCGTGTGTGGGCATGTGTGCATGGACTAGGGCTTGAATTCAGGGCAGGGGACTGTCCCTTAGACTTTTTCACTCAGGGCTGGTGCTTTACCACTTGAGTCACAGCTCCACTTCTGCTTTTTCAGATAAGAGTCTCAAGGACTTTCCTATGTGGGCTAGCTTTGAACTCTGATCCCCAGATCTTAGCCTCCTGGGTAACAAGAACTATAAATATGAGCCACTAGTGCCAGCCAGGTTGACTTTTTATCCCTTGCCTTTCTCTTGGAAGAGAGTTTCCTTTTAATCAGCTAATTCTAGTTAATGAGAGTTTTCCTTCTCAATGCCACTCCTTATTAAAAGTGAATTTAGCTTGTGCCATGATGGCCAGACCAGCACCTTTGCTGGCTAGACCAACCCAAAGCTCTATGCTGTCTTGGTGGCAGTGTGTCTCATCACCACCATGGATAGTGCTGCTTGTGCTAATGGTCTATTTGCAGTTAGAGTACACATTTAGAACCAAAAATCCCAGGTCTCCCAGACGAGGGTTGGATGAGTGGTGGTGCAGTTGCGTGTGAGTGAACCCTGCCCTGTCTCAAGGTGGTGTTTCCTGCAAATGAAGCCAAACTGCTTCCAACAGCTCTCCTCACTCTGTATTCCAGGGAGCATCCTTTGTTGAAACTGAAGAATGTCATTCTGACGCCTCATATTGGGAGTGCCACTCACCAAGCCAGACGACAAATGATGGAAAATATGGTTGCAAGCATCCTGGCTGCTCTCAGTGACCTTCCCATTCCCAATGAAGTGGTACTTAAATGATTCCTGTGAACTGAGAATCCGCTCAGATGAAAAAATGTCAGATTAAAATGGGGAGAAGCTGTATTTTTTGTGCATTTTGTATAATACACGCATCATGTAGATGAGTTTCATACTGTTGAGATGGAAGTAATTGAAGAACAGTAATAATAAACTGGGTGCTGGGTTCACACTTGTAATGCTAGCTGCTCAGGAGGCTGAGATCAGGAGGATGGAGGTTTTAAGCCAGAACAGGCAGAAGTTCTCAAAACCCCTATTCAGCATTCAAAGCTGGATGTGGTGGTGTAAGCTACCATGTAAAGGATTGTGGCCAAGTGGGCCCAGGCCAAAAGCTCAACCTTATCTCAAAAGTAACCAAAGCAAGAAAGGTTTTATGCATTCCCCAGGTGGTACACTGCTTGTCTAGTTAAGTGAGAAGCTGAGTTCAAACTCCAGTACTGCCGAAAAAGAACAGTAATAATAGAATATATCCTCAAGACAGCTCCTTGAGAAGTTACTCTTCTATAGGTTCAGCCTTCAAACATTTAAATGAAAACCCTTAGGTTTGGTTTTTATTTGAATTTGGATAAAACCCCTGTGTTACAGCTGCAAATGTTCTGGTTGATTATGTTTCCTTCCGTCTTGTTAAATTATTTTTCTCATTTTCTTTTGTTACGGAGGGGTCCTGCTGCCTCAGCCTTCTAAACGCTGAGGTTACAGGTTTGCGCAGTCACATCCCAGCTTTGTTAAAACACTGATCGCTTCCTGGGTCACGTATTCTCTAGACCACAGTCAGTATTCATTTATTTTATTGAATAAACAGCTGCTGAGAACTTTCTGTCTCAAATTTTGTTCTCAGTCTTGGCTATCACAGGAAAGAACATGCAGTGCTTGCTAGGGACGGGGCAGGGGCGTGCTTTTCAGTGGGAGAGACAAACGGCCACACTGTCGCGCGGCTGGCGAACGGGAGAGGGCAGGAACGGCGGGGAAGGGCTGGGGGTGGGTCTCCTTCAGGATGTCTGGACAATCAGGACAGGCCTGGCAGGAAAGCCTGCCCTTTGTGGCGGTCCCGGGCCTGAACCCTGGGCCTGGGCGCCGTGCCCAGCGCCCCAGCTCCAGGCCGGCGCCCGCCGCGGGAGCCCCGCGGTCAGAGGACTTGGCTGCCCGGGCTGGCTTCGAACCGCGACCCGCAGGTCTCGGCCTCCTGAGCGGCGGGCGACGGCGGAGCCCCGGCGCCGGCCTCACGTCGCACTCCAGACACAGTTGAACCGCACCAGGCAGCGCCAGGGGCTCCGTCCGCGGGTCGGCCGCCCCGGCCTCCCCCTGCCCGGGTCAGGTAGCTGGCTCCGCAGGGCCCCGCAGGGCCCGCGGGAATTCGCCCTGTCCGTGTGTGCGGGGCTCGGGCCGGTACACTTCCACGCGGGAGGCCACGAGCCACGACGGTATCTTAGAAGGGACATGAAGCCCGCGCCGTGCCCGCACCCGCGCGCCCGCACCCTGCCTGCGCCGTGCTCGCGCCCGCGTGCCCGTGCCAGCACCCTGCCTGAGCCGTGCCCGCGCCCCCTGCCCGCGCCATGCCCCCGCGCCCCCTGCCCGCGCCATGCCCCCGCGCCCGCGCCCCCTGCCCGCGCCATGCCCCCGCGCCCGCGCCCCCTGCCCGCGCCATGCCCCCGCGCCCCCTGCCCGCGCCATGCCCCCGCGCCCGCGCCCCCTGCCCGCGCCATGCCACCGCGCCCCCTGCCCGCGCCATGCCCCCGCGCCCGCGCCCCCTGCCCGCGCCATGCCACCGCGCCCCCTGCCCGCGCCATGCCCCCGCGCCCGCGCCCTCTGCCCGCGCCGTGCCCGCACCCGCGCCGTGTCCCCGCGCCATGCCCCCGCGCCCGCGCCCCCTGCCCGCGCCATGCCCCCGCGCCCGCGCCCTGTCCCCGCGCCATGCCCCCGCGCCCGCGCTCCCTGCCCACGCCATGCCCCCGCGCCCGCTCCCTCTGCCCGCGCCGTGCCCCCGCGCCCGCGCCCTCTGCCCGCGCCGTGCCCCCGCGCCCGCGCCCCCTGCCCGCGCCGTGCCCCCGCGCCCGCGCCCTCTGCCCGCGCCGTGCCCGCACCCACGCAGGAGCCGCCCTCTGCTGCGGCTGCGCTGACTCCACGGAAGGAAGGTTGCGGGTCGTCTGCTCAGGCTGGCCTCCAGCTGAGGCTCCGGCTCCGCCCGCCACCAGCTGTCCTACCTACGCTGCACGACGTTGGCCAGAGTGACGCCCGGCCACGGCCTGGCGAGTCGCAACGGCGCCGCCCGAAGCCCCGCCCCTCCCGCCCTCACCACAGAAACCCCGCCCCTCACTCAGGGCTGAAGCCCCGCCCTCACCACTCAAGGCCCGACCATTACTTTGGCCGAAGTCCCGCCCCTCCCTCATCACAGAAGCGCCGCCCGTCACTCACGCCCGAAGCCCCGCCCCTCACTCGCTCATGCAGGATGAAGCACCGCCCTTCACTCAGGCCGAAGCCACGCCTCTCCCGTACACGGGCGAGGCCGCTCCTCCGTCCGCGGGGCAGAGGCTCCGCCCCCACGTTCCGGACGTAGCCAGCACGGTGGCCCCGCCCCACGTCCCGCGGCGCTCTCGGGAGCCGGCGGGTCTGGCGCGGCATGTGGGCCCCGCTGCGGGTGCGGGGCGTCGGCGGGGCCGCGCTGCGGGTCCTGCGGGCCGTCGGGGGTGCCGCGCTCCTCCCCAGCCGCGCGCGGGGCCTGCACGGCTCCGCCGTTGTCTGCGGCTCCAAGAACCTGCTCAAGAAATTTGCCTCCAAAACCAAGTATGCGCGGGGCGGGGCGCGGCGGACCGGGTCCACGGGCCCGTGTCCGCGGGATCGGTGTCCGCGGGGCCGGCTCCGCGGGATCGGTGTCTAGGGGATCGGTGTACAGGAGATAGGTGTACGAGGCCCGGTGTCCGCGGGGCCCGTGTCCGCGGGGAGCAGGCCTGGGAGGGGGGGTAGGGCAGTGTCAGGGGGAGGGGGGTAGGGCAGTGTCAGGGGAGCAGGTGTGGTAGGGCAGTGTCAGGGGAGCAGGTGTGGTAGGGCAGTGTCAGGGGAGCAGGTGTGGTAGGGCAGTGTCAGGGGAGCAGGCGTGGTAGGGCAGTGTCAGGGGGAGGGGGGTAGGGCAGTGTCAGGGGAGCAGGTGTGGTAGGGCAGTGTCAGGGGGAGGGGGGGTAGGGCAGTGTCAGGGGGAGGGGGGTAGGGCAGTGTCAGGGGGAGGGGGGTAGGGCAGTGTCAGGGGGAGGGGGGTAGGGCAGTGTCAGGGGGAGGGGGGTAGGGCAGTGTCAGGGGAGCAGGTGTGGTAGGGCAGTGTCAGGGGAGCAGGTGTGGTAGGGCAGTGTCAGGAGAGCAGGTGTGGTAGGGCAGTGTCAGGGGGAGGGGGGTAGGGCAGTGTCAGGGGAGCAGGTGTGGTAGGGCAGTGTCAGGGGAGCAGGTGTGGTAGGGCAGTGTCAGGGGAGCAGGCGTGGTAGGGCAGTGTCAGGGGGAGCAGGTGTGGTAGGGCAGTGTCAGGGGGAGCAGGTGTGGTAGGGCAGTGTCAGGGGAGCAGGCGTGGTAGGGCAGTGTCAGGGGAGCAGGTGTGGTAGGGCAGTGTCAGGGGGAGCAGGTGTGGTAGGGCAGTGTCAGGGGGAGGGGGGTAGGGCAGTGTCAGGGGAGCAGGTGTGGTAGGGCAGTGTCAGGGGGAGGGGGGTAGGGCAGTGTCAGGGGAGCAGGTGTGGTAGGGCAGTGTCAGGGGGAGGGGGGTAGGGCAGTGTCAGGGGAGCAGGTGTGGTAGGGCAGTGTCAGGGGAGCAGGTGTGGTAGGGCAGTGTCAGGGGAGCAGGTGTGGTAGGGCAGTGTCAGGGGAGCAGGTGTGGTAGGGCAGTGTCAGGGGAGCAGGCGTGGTAGGGCAGTGTCAGGGGGAGCAGGTGTGGTAGGGCAGTGTCAGGGGGAGCAGGTGTGGTAGGGCAGTGTCAGGGGAGCAGGCGTGGTAGGGCAGTGTCAGGGGAGCAGGTGTGGTAGGGCAGTGTCAGGGGGAGCAGGTGTGGTAGGGCAGTGTCAGGGGGAGGGGGGTAGGGCAGTGTCAGGGGAGCAGGTGTGGTAGGGCAGTGTCAGGGGGAGGGGGGTAGGGCAGTGTCAGGAGAGCAGGTGTGGTAGGGCAGTGTCAGGGGGAGGGGGGTAGGGCAGTGTCAGGGGGAGGGGGGTAGGGCAGTGTCAGGGGAGCAGGTGTGGTAGGGCAGTGTCAGGGGGAGGGGGGTAGGGCAGTGTCAGGAGAGCAGGTGTGGTAGGGCAGTGTCAGGAGAGCAGGTGTGGTAGGGCAGTGTCAGGGGGAGCAGGTGTGGTAGGGCAGTGTCAGGGGAGCAGGTGTGGTAGGGCAGTGTCAGGGGAGCAGGTGTGGTAGGGCAGTGTCAGGGGGAGGGGGGTAGGGCAGTGTCAGGGGGAGGGGGGTAGGGCAGTGTCAGGGGACCAGGTGTGGTAGGGCAGTGTCAGGGGGAGCAGGTGTGGTAGGGCAGTGTCAGGGGGAGGGGGGTAGGGCAGTGTCAGGGGAGCAGGTGTGGTAGGGCAGTGTCAGGGGGAGGGGGGTAGGGCAGTGTCAGGGGAGCAGGTGTGGTAGGGGAGTGTCAGGGGGAGCAGGTGTGGTAGGGCAGTGTCAGGGGGAGGGGGGTAGGGCAGTGTCAGGGGGAGGGGGGTAGGGCAGTGTCAGGGGAGCAGGTGTGGTAGGGCAGTGTCAGGGGAGCAGGTGTGGTAGGGCAGTGTCAGGGGAGCAGGTGTGGTAGGGCAGTGTCAGGGGGAGGGGGGTAGGGCAGTGTCAGGGGAGCAGGTGTGGTAGGGCAGTGTCAGGGGAGCAGGTGTGGTAGGGCAGTGTCAGGGGGAGGGGGGTAGGGCAGTGTCAGGGGGAGGGGGGTAGGGCAGTGTCAGGGGACCAGGTGTGGTAGGGCATTGTCAGGGGGAGCAGGTGTGGTAGGGGAGTGTCAGGGGGAGCAGGTGTGGTAGGGCAGTGTCAGGGGGAGGGGGGTAGGGCAGTGTCAGGGGGAGGGGGGTAGGGCAGTGTCAGGGGAGCAGGTGTGGTAGGGCAGTGTCAGGGGAGCAGGTGGGGTAGGGCAGTGTCAGGGGGAGCAGGCGTGGTAGGGCAGTGTCAGGGGGAGGGGGGTAGGGCAGTGTCAGGGGGAGCAGGGGGGCGGCAGGGCCCAGCCCCACGGGGTTCAGGGTCACCCGGAGGGGAGGTGCTGTGTTATTAGATGGCTGTGGAGGTACCTTCGTTCCCTTTAAGATCAGTGCAAAGAAAAGCTGGGTGCAGAAATGCACACCTCCTATGCTAACTGCTGGGACCCTAACATAGGTAGATCACAGGTAGGCAGCACCCAGAGAGGAAGCAGTGAGTGAGCCGGCCTAGTGGCTCAGCCTGCCATCCCAGCTACTCAGGAGGCTGAGATCTGAGGATCATGGTTCAAACCCAGCCAGGGCAGGAAAGTTTATGAGACCTTTTTTGTTGTGGGTTGTGGGGCTTGAACTCTGGGCCTGAGTGCTGTCCCAGCGCTCTTCAGCTCAAGGTGAGCACTCTACCACTTGATCCACAGCGCCACTTCCCGCTTTTTCTCTTTATGGGGTGCTGAGGAATCGAAACCCAGACCTCATGAATGTGAGACAAGCACTCCATCTCTGAGCCAACGTCCCGCCCTTCCTGACACCCTTATCTCCAGTGAACCACCAGGAAGACGGAAGTGGAGCTGTAGCTCAAAGTAGTAGAGCCCTAACCCTGAACAAAAGAGCTCAAGGACTGTGCCCAGACCCTGGTTTCAAACCCCACAACCACTAAAAAGAACCCACGCAGCCACGTTTACACCCACTCTCTTCTCCTTCCTTTTTGTACAGCTTTGAAGTCTTCTGAGAACATGTATCAGGTTCATCATTCATGGTTCATCGTTTCTATTCTTGTCAACACAAGTGTAACAAGAGACTCACTTCCTCCTTATTAATGCCTAATTAGTGGCCGTGGTTTGAGGAGCAGTGCTCTTTTAGGTGGTCTTTCTTTGATGAATAAAGGTCGTCATGGTGGCTGGGTGGGACTGGATGTTGTGGTCATAGCTTTGGCTTGCTGAGCAGGTGCTGTATTTGTGACCACTTGAACTGTGCCCACCCTATTATATGCCTTAGTTGTTTTCCAGGTAGAGTCTTATATTTTTGCCTGGAACTGGCCTCAGACTTCAGTCTACCAAACCTGGATTATTGATGGAGTGACCTCCAATCTCAGTCCTCCAGACTCTGCCTCTGATCAGCTGGGCTGCTAGGTGTCAGCCCTGGGGCCTCTCTCTCGGAGCTCTCTTCTCTCTCTGCTTTTTTCTCCCCCTCCCCCCGCCCCCAGGCTTTTTTTCCTGCCAGTTCTAGGACTTGAATTTAAGGCCTGGGTGGGTCACTTAGTTTTTTTTCTCTCAAGGCTAGTGTTCTACCACTTGAGCCATGCTTTCACCTGCCCACCTTCATTGGAATACCTCTGTTTTCTTCATGGATTTGGGAAGGAAGCTGGCTGAGATAAAAAGCCCTTTCCACCCATCATCCAGGGTGTATTCAGCCCACATGATTATCACTGTGTGTTAGGGGCCTCCACTGTCTTGTTGGGAGAAAATTGCTGCAATGGAGGATTATGCCTCAGATTTTCTACAGTTCTGAATCTGAGTCCATACTCAGTGAGGACTCATGAATGATAATCCAATTTTGCTCAAAATGCTTCACTTTTTAAAAAATGTTCCATTTTTAGCCATTATGAGTCCTCTCCACCCTTTTACTAACCCATCATAAGGCAAGCTCTGTATGCCCAGGCATTTACTGTCTACTAGCATGCTCAGCAGAATGTTCTAGGTGTTTACCATCTACTAGCATGCTCAGCAGAATGTTCTAGGTGTTTGCCCTCTACTAGCATGCTCAGCAGAATGTTCTAGGTGTTTACCGTCTACTAGCATGCTCAGCAGAATGTTCTAGGTGTTTGCCGTCTACTAGCATGCTCAGCAGAATGTTCCAGGCGTTTGTGTTTTTCTCCTGGAGTTCATTTTGATGGCTATTATTTTGATGGCGTTGTTCCTCCCCTAAAGATGGCCTTCTTTGGTCTCGCCATGTGTGAGTGTCCAGAGTTCTGAATAACTTATCGTACCCTGTATATTTTAGATCTAGCCTCCGTATTTGTCCCTCTGAGCTCCCAGGTTCATATACCCTCTGTCTCAACTCTGGAACCAACCATTTCTCCATAGAGCTATGATTATTGAGAAGTAGTGTTGAAAGCCATGGTCTGAGAGCCCGGTGCGCTCAGTGTATTGACTTACTTAGCAATGCTTTTGTATGAAACCATTGTCTCTAGCTCTAGTGTATTCTGTGGATTCTTTTTTTTTGTCGGTCGTGGGACTTGAACTCTGGGCCTGGGCGCTGTCCCTCAGCTCTTCAGCTCAAGGCGAGTGCTCTACCGCTTGAGCCACAGCGCCACTTCCAGTTTTCTAGTGGTTTATTGGAGAGAAGAGTCTCATGGACTTTCCTGCCTGGGCTGGCTTTCAACCGTGATCCTCAGATCTCAGCCTCCTGAGTAGCTAGGATGACAGGTGAGAGCCATCGGTGCCCGGCTGGAAGATGTGTTTAAAGGGCCCCTTTCTCTTCCCTTGAGACTATAGATAAGCTTTAAAACTTGAGTGAAAACTTTTTTCTGTCCTACCCCCATAGCCATGTTGTTGTTTTCCGTTAAACATGTGTGTTTCTTAGCCCTCCTCTATTCTGATCCTAGAGTCACAGCCTCTAGAGGCCTTACATAACTCTTCTTCATTTTCCTACTTAATTTTTGTTTTTTCCACGTAGGAAGAAGTTTTGGTATGAGAGTCCTTCTCTGGGGTCTCACCTGGTAAGTAAAAAGCATGGCTATAGCCTTTATAGTTGTGAGTGGGAGGGAGGGAAAGTGGAAGGCGGGAGATTGCGGCCTGCAAACGCTCCACTGGACAGACAGTCTGCCAGTGGAGCTGGATGCTACTGAAGCATGGATTTCAACACTCGCAGAGAAAAAAGCAATACTGCTGAGTTTTCTAAAATGTTCTTTGACCAAATTTCAATAATGTAACGTATGGTCAGCTTTTAGTGTGTATACTACAGCGGTTGATATGACAATACAAATACTTTAACAGAGTAAAAGGCTGGGCTGTAGCTTGATGATGGAATGTGGTAAAGGTCCCGAAATCAGTCCCCAACACAGCAAAGAAAAACGAAAGCTTCCAGGGTGAATTTTATGGTGTATGGATAACATGTTAAAAGAAAAGAAAAACAAAAGCCAGACACCAGTGGCTCACACCTGTAATTCTGGCTACTCAGGAGGCTGAGATTTGAGGATCACAGGTCTAAGCCAGCCTAGGCAAGAAAGTCTGTGATACCCTTTTTTTTTGTTGTTGGTCGTGGGGCTTGATCTCTGGGCCTGGATGCTGTTCCCTACTCTTCAGCTCAAGGCTAGCGCTCTACCACTTGAGCTATAGCACCATTTCCAGTTTTCTGGTGGTTTATTGGAGATAAGAGTTTCACGGACTTTCCTGCCCTGGCTGGCTTTGAACCACGATCCTCAGATCTAGGCCTCCCGAGTAGTAGGATTACAGGTGTGAGCCACCAGTGCCCGGCTGTGAGACTCTTATCTTCACTAAACTACTAAAAAGTCAGAAGTGGAGCTGTGGCTCAAGTGGCACAGCACTAGCCTGAGCACAAAAGCTCAAGGACAGCACCCAGGACCAGAATTCAAGCCCCAGGAACAGCATGTGCACACTACACACTCCAAAAAAGGAAAAAACAATCTAAGTTCTGGTGATTCACAGTTATAGTCTCAGCGAAGATCTGAGGATTGTAGTTTAAAGCCAACCTAGGCAGACATCTCCAAAAAATTTCTCTCCAATTAAACAGCAGGAACCTGGAAGTAGAGGCATGGCTCAAGTACAATAGAGTGTCAGTGGTGAGTGAAAAAGCCAAGCAGGAGAGGAAGGCCCTGAACTCAAGCCATAGTACTGGTACATACACAAGCGAACACACACACACCAATTAAATAAACATTTTAAAATATCCCACATTAGCAGCACTTTTATTTTATTTTATTTATTTATTTTTTTTGGGGGTCCAGTAGTGGGGCCTGAACTCTGGGCCTGGGTGTTGTCCCTCAGCTCTTCAGCTCAAGGCTAGCGCTCTACCACTTGAGCCACAGCGCCACTTCCGGCTTTTTTCTTATGTGGTGCTGAGGAATTGAACCCAGGGCCTCGAGCATGCAAGGCAAGTGCTCTACCACTGAGCCACCTTCCCAGCCCCTTTTATTTTTGTTGTTGGTTGTGGGGCCTGAACTCTGGGCCTGGGTGTTGTCCCTCACCTCTTCAGCTCAAGGCTAGTGCTCTACCACTTGAGCCACAGCACCACTTCCAGCTTTTTTTTTTTCCTGTATATGTGGTGCTGAGGAATTGAACCCAAGGCCTCATGCATGAGAGGCAAGCACTCTACCACTGAGTCATCTTCCCAGCCCCTAGCAGCACTTTTAGTATGGAAGTATTGAAGTATTTTACCAGGTAAAATCGGGAAGGATCTGGTTTAGTGATTAGCAAGAAGCATCTATCTAGTTGTCAGCTTAGCCCTGCCCTAGCCCCTGTGTGTAGGTCTGTGGAGTTGGTCTCTGTGGTAATTCTGTCCGTGGTGTATTCTTATTAATGTAGGCCCACAAGCCATCCAAGCTGGACTTCCTCAACAAGAAGACCTCAAAGACCACCACCAAGGAAGACCATGTGCGCCTGAGGACCTTGAACAGCCTCCTTCTCAAAGCACTGACAGATCTGCTGTGCACCCCTGAAGTAAGCCAGGAAGTCTATGACCTGAACGTGGAGCTCTCCAAGGTAGGTGGCAGGCCAGACCTCCCAGTCTTGCCTTCCCTTCTCACCATCATGGTTTTTATCTGGGCTACAGGGTGATGTCCAGTCTGGCCATCTTAAGTTCTGGAGGACCCTGTGCTGTGGCGCAGAAACATCACCTTCCTTCCTTCCTTCCACCGGGCAGGGGACTGTAACCACACGGGCCCTGGCATGTTGGACAGCTAGCCGGTGTCAAGTATGGACTGGATTGTTGGAAGAAGTCTAAGGGTGTGCTGAGGTGTAGGCATGCTATGTTTAACCCAGCATTAAGACAAAGGAGAGTCCTTCCACCTCTAAAGAGAGAGTTGAGCAGACAACAGACAGCAGCTGGGTGTTTCCAGTGAGCATCTTGGCAAAACCCCGTGAAGCCAGTCCCCTGCAGTCAGGTGACTGAGCAGGTGGTTGGTGGGACCTGGAGAGAAGAAGCAAGTGCATTTTACGCTCAGCACCAGTGGGTAGTAGTCGCTGCTGGCTCTCACAGGGAGGCATTCAGGCACAGAGGAACTGCGGCTTTTCACCTCCAGACTGTTGTCTGTGTGAGAACCACTGCAAACATGAAGTGACCTGTGTCTGGCTGGGTCTCAGGTCTCGCTGGCTTCGGACTTCTCAGCCTGCCGTGTGTACTGGAAGACGGGTCTCTCCGCCGACCAGAACAAGCACACAGAAGCCGTCCTGCAGAGGAGCGCGGCACACATGAGGTGATCATACTGGCCTCCCACAGGGGCCGCTTTCTGCCTGCACCCCGACTGCTCCGCTCTCTCTCTCCTAGGTGTTCCTTTAAAGTTTCTTATTAAGGATTTGTACTTTTCTCCTGTGCATGCTGGTCCTGGGGCTTGAACTCAGGGCCTGGGCACTGGCCCTGAGATTTTTCACTCAAGGCTTGCCATCTACCAGTTGAACCAAATTGGAGATAAAGAGTCTCACAGACTTTACTGCCTGGGCTGGCTTCAAACCGTGATCCTCAGATCTCCCGAGTAGGTAGGATTACAGGCACCCACTATAATTGTACTTTTAAGGAAAAAATTTGGAAGTATTTTCTTCAATTTCAGAATATAATTTGCCTTTTCCTATTAAACATAGTCTAGTCAGCTTTTTAAAAGTTTTATAGGGATCCAGAGCTCCTTTCAGGACTTTTTTGAGGTTAAGGATGTTTTTCACAAATACTCAAGATCCTTTGGTCTTTCTTTTGTCTGCCTGCCTGCCTGCCTGCCTGCCTGCATTCATTCCTTCCTTCCTTCCTTCCTTCCTTCCTTTCTTTCTTTCTTTCTTTCTTTCTCTTTCTCTCTATCTCCCTCCTCTCTCTCTCTCTCTCTTTCTTTCTTTCTTTTTCTTTCTTTTTTTTCTTGTTTTGGTCGTAGGGCTTGAACTTAGGGCCTGGGCACTATCCCTGAGCTCTTTTGGTCAAGGCTAGCGTTCTACCACTTTAAGCCACAGCTCCACTTCCAGTCTTTGAGTGGTTTATTGGAGATACAAGTCTCACAGAGACTTTTCTGCCTGGGCTGGCTTTGAACTGTGATCCTCAAGGTCTGGGAAGGTGGCTCAGTGGTAGAGCACTTGCCTTGCATGCGTGAAGCCCTGGGTTTGATTCCTTAGCACCACATAAGCAAAAAGAAAAAAGCTGGAAGTGGCTCTGTGGCTCAAGTGGTAGAGCGCTAGCCTTGAGCTGAAGAGCTGAGGGACAGCGCCCAGGCCCAGAGTTCAGGCCCCATGACCGGACCCAAAAAAAACCAAAAAAACAAATGAACTGTGATCCTCAGACCTCAGCCTCCTGAGTAGCCACCGGAGCCTAGCCCTTTGCCTTTCTCAATCTGCCAGGACTGGTGCCTTTTTGCACAGCTGCTGGTCCTCACTGTGAAACACAGTGCCACTTTAAATGTTAAAGCATTCATACCGTAAAGTATTTCATATGAACAAGCAAAAAAGACCAAGTTTACAGTCTTGACCCACAAGGCCACGCCTGTTTAACATCCTGTGGGGAAAGCACTATGATCCCGTCACAGCGTAGCCGTCAGGGCACCACGGAAGAGCCGAGCGAGCCCTGGGCTGCTGTGGTGTGGGTGTTTGTGGGCAGTGCTCTCAAAGCTGTGCTGAGTGACCCCAGTGCTTTGGGGAAACCAGCTGGCTTCACTGTTGTCGCCAATAAAATGGACCTTCAGAGTGATAATCAGCTTACGAATTTATTTGTTTACTTACTTATTGTGCTAGTATTGGGGCTTGAACTCAGGGCCTGGGCCTTGTCCCTTAGTTTTTCATTTTGATCCAATGTTCTTTGAAAGAACATCAACCATATTCATAATCTGTTGGGCCTCTCCCCTCTGCGGGTACCCAACTCTCAACAGAACCTGTTTTGCTTTCCGGTCATTTGTTTTCATTTTTTATTGTATATTAATTGTACATAGGAGTTTCAAAATGGTATCTCACACAGGCACATAATTTAGATGAACTTCCCCCCATTATTTCCTACCTTCCTGCTCCAATAAGATTCCTTATGCCATCTGCATTATGGACACAATGCACTCCAGCATTATTCATCCTCCTTATTCTTTCTCTCTCCCCTTTCCCTCATCCTCCCCTAGATAGTCCCACAGTTACAATCATGCTGCACACACACACACACACACACACACACACACACACGTGCCTTTTTGTATTTTCATTTTATTACTGAAATAGTGTTTCAAGAACTCTGCCTGGGCTGACCTTCAGCTCAGATCTTCCCACTCCCACATCCGGAGTAGACGAGATTACAGGCATGGCACCTCACCTGGCTTGTTCTTACTTCTTTGAACGACGTGGTCAGAATGTGGGCCACCGCCCGTGGCTTCAGATGCTAAGCGCATCTGAACACTGGCGCTCCCTGGACACTCTGGAGCTCTGCCATCACACTGCCACAGCTGGAGAGAATGTCTTTGTATAGCTCAGCGCTGTGACACACACCTGTGAGGTTGAGCTACACATGGTACACATTTCCTGAAACCTACACACTGTGCTTGAGAAGGGAACATTCAGCCAAGCTTTCGAAACGCCTGAAAACGAGACAACAACACAGCTGTTTCAATACTTGAAGAAAAGACTTTACTATCTTGGTTTTGTTTAACAGTAAAAGATGAAATTGAAGCCAGGTGCTGATGGCTCAACGCTTGTCATCCTAGCTACTCAGGAGGCTGAGATCTAAGGATCACAGTTCAAAGCCAGCCTGGGCAGAAAAGTCCATGAGACTTTTTGTGTGTGTGTGTTAGTTGTGAGGCTTGAACTCAGGCCCTGGGTGCTGTCCCTCAGCTCTTCAGCTCAAGGCCCGTGCTCTACCGCTTGAGCCACAGCACCACTTCCAGTTTTCTAGTAGTTTATTGGAGATAAGAGTCTCATGGACTTTCCTGCCTGGGCTGGATTTGAACCATGATCCTCAGATCTCAGCCTCCTGAGTAGCTAGGATTACAGGCGTGAGCCACAGGAGACTCTTGTCTCCAATAAACTACTAGAAAACTGGAAATGGGCTGTGGCTCAAGTGGTAGAGAGCTTACCTTGAGCTGAAGAGCTGAGGGACAGCGCCCAGGACCAGAGTTCAAGCCCCACAACCGACAAAAAAAAAAAAAAGAGGCTGAAATCTGTCATGAAGCCTTGGGTTTGATTCCTCAGTGCCACATACACAGAAAAAGCTGGAAGTGGAGCTGTAGCTCAAGTGGTAGAGCACTAGCCTTGGGCAGAAAAATCTCAGGGACAGTGCCCAGGCTCTGAGTTCAAGACCCATGACCAACCCAACCCCCTCCCCCCCCCCCCAAATATATATAAATACTTCACACACACACACACACACACACACACAGCTGGGCACAAGTGGCTCATACCTGTAACCCTAGTTATTCAGGAAGCTGAGATCTGAAAACCTGGGCAAGAAAGTCTGTGAGACGCTTATCTTCAATTAACCACAAAAAAAGCTGGACCTAGAGCTGTGGCTCAAGTAGTAGAATGATAGTCTTGAACAAAAAAATCTCAGGGACAGCACCCAGGCTCTGAGTTCAAGCCCCAGGACTGCTACAAAAAAAACAACAAAAAAACAAAAACCCAACACCCCAGATGTTTGCCTCGCCCATGGGTTCAATCTCCAATATTGCAAGTAGGTAAGTAAATAAGTGACAAAGAAATAGGTAAATACATAAATCGAATGGCTAAGAACAGTAACGATGCCCATACCCTTTTGTGATACGGTGGTGTGACAACGGCTTTTGGTCTAATGTTTTCCTCTCTGTAGCCTTCCTTTTCTTCCTCACTTCTCCTCTTTGCCTCAACTCCTCTTCCCTTGCTGCTTGAACCTGTGGCTCAAGTGATCCTCCTGCTCTGCCTCCCTCATGGCTGAGAACGCAGGTGTGACACTACCTACTCTCACCTTTGAGTGACATGATGATTGAGTCCGACTTTCAGTAGTGACTTTCATGTAGTTCACATTAAGCACCCTTCCTCTCTTCTAAATCTGCAAAACATGCATTCTCTCCTCAGACACCTGGTGATGTCCCAGCAGACACTGAGGAATGTGCCCCCCATAGTGTTTGTTCAAGACAGAAAAGACACAGTTCTGGCCAAGGTAAGGCTTTTTTGTTGGTGGTGGTGGTCATGGGGCTTGAACTCAGGGCCTGGGTGTTGTACCTGAGCTTTTCTGCCTAAGGCTAGCACTCTACCACTTTGATCCACAGCTACACTTCCAATTTTCCACTGGTTCATTCAAGATACGAGTCTCATGGGTTTTCCTGCCTGGGCTGGCTTTGAACTGCAATCCTCAGATCTTAGCCTCCTGAGTAGTTAGGATTACAGGTGGGAGCCAACAGCACCCAGCTCCAAAGTAAGGCTTTTTTTTCCCGATCAGTCATGGGACTTGAATTCTGGGAACTCTGGGCCTGGGTGCTGTCCCTGAGCTCTTCGGCTCAAGGCTAGTGCTCTCCCACTTGAGCCACAACACCACTTCTGGTTTTCTGGTGGTTCATTGGAGATAAGAGTCTCATGGACTTTCCTGCCTGGACTGGCTTTGAACTGTGATCCTCAAATCTCAGCCTCCTGAGTAGTTAGGATGACAGGCGTGAGCCACCGGCACCCAGCCCTAATTGATTTTTGTTCATTTTTGTCGCTGCTACTCTGGCTTGAACTCAAGACCTCATGTTCTTACTCAGCTTGGTCTTTCTTGGCAGAGAGGGAAGAAAGAAAGGAAAGAGAATCATCAAGCTATTATTTAAGATCTGTTTTTTAATGTCATTGCTTACAGTTATAAACTTGCCTCCAGAACTGCCTTTGCTGTAACCCAGAGATTCTGATAAATTATTTTTCATTTTCATAGATTCTAGGAATTATCCTCTGTTATTTCTAAAATGATCTACAAGTTGTTCAGCAATGCAATTTCATTTCCATTTGTTCAAACACATTTTGTATAGTTTGTTTATAGTTGTTGATTTCTAGTTTCCCATTGTAGTCTTGATAAAATTATAGTGCTTTATTGCAGTTTTCATGTATTTTTAAATTTTATTAATTTAATTTTTTTTTTTTTTTTTTTTTGTTGGTTGTGAGGCTTGAACGCCAGGCTTGAGGCCTGGGCGCTGTCCCTCAGCTCTTCAGCTCACAGTGAGCGCCCTACCACTTGAGCCACAGTACCACTTCTGGTTTTCTGGTGGTTAATTGGAGATAAGAGTCTCACGGACTTTGCTGCCCAGGCTGGTTTTGAACTATGATCCTCAGATCTCAGCTTACTGAGTAGGAAGGATTATAGGAGTGAGCCACCAGCGCCCCGATAGTTTTCGTGTATTTCAACTCTTGCTTTACGTTCTCAAATATGGTCTATATTGGAGAAAGTTCCATGAACTTCTAAGAATAGATTGTATAGCTACTAGATGAAATGATCTATACTGTTGATTAATTTTGAGGCTCCTTTGTTAATTTTTTGTCTGGATGACTTGTCTGTTAGTGATAATAAGATATTGAAATCTCTTATTATTAATGTGTTGGTGTCTAGCTATGCTTTATAAGTCCAGTGGTATTTGTTTAATTAAATTGGATGTGCCAACATTTGGTGTTTATATGTTGGCAGTTGCTACTTCCTCTCTCTGAATTATCCTCTTAATGTATATAAATTGATTTTGTCTCTTCTGAGTAGTTTCTGTTTGAAATCTACTTTATCAGATGAGTGTGGCTACTCTTGCCTGCTTTCAGTCTTACTTTGTTGAAAATCATTTCCTGACTTTTCACTTTGTGGTGTTTGTCAGTGAGATCTGTTTCTTGTATATAACAAATGGTAAGATCATTCTTTTTGATACATTCTGCCATTTGGTGTCTTTTGATTGGAGACCCTAGCGTTTATTTTTAATATGGAAAAGTATGTAGTATTTCCTGTCATTTGGATGTTTTTGTGATGATTGCTTCATTTTTCACTCTCATTTGCTAATCTACTTGTGTAGGGGAGTTATTCTCTGCAATATCTCCTCATCACATTTACTTTTCTCTATGTAGGATTCCTTTAAGTGCCTTCTTCAGTGCTGGTTTAATGGTCATGAATTTCTTTTTTTTTTCTTGCCAGTCCTGGGGCTTGAACTCAAGGCCTGGGCACTGTCCCTGAGCTTGTTTTGCTCAAGGCTAGCACTCTACCACTTGAGTGAGCCACAGTGCCACTTCCAGCCTTTTCTGTGTATGTGGTACTGAGGAATCAAACGCGGGGCTTCATGCATGGTAGGCAAGCACTCTGCCACTAAGCCACCTTCCCAGCCCATGAATTTCTTTAGTTTCATTTATCGTGAAGATTTTTATTAATCTACATTAACAGTTATTTTCAGTGTTTGGAATATATCATTCCATGTTCCTCTTGCTTTTAGAGATTCTGTTGAAAAATATATTGTGTTCAGACGGGTTTACATTCGTAAATGACTTGTTTCCCCAGTAGCTTTTAAGATTTCTTCTTTTTGTTGTTGTTGGTCGTGGGGCTTGAACTCTGGGCTTGGGCGCTGTCCTTGTGCTCTTCAGCTCAAGGCCAGCGCTCTACCACTTGAGCCACACAGCGCCACTTCCGATTTTCTAGTGCTTTATTGGAGATAAGAGTCTCACGAACTTTCCTGCCCAGGCTGGCTTTGAACTGCGATGCTCAGATCTCAGCCTCCTGAGTAGCTAGGATTACAGCAGGAGCCACCAGCAGGAGCCACCAGTGCCCGGCTAAGATTTCTTTTTGTTATGCATATTTATTTTTTTATTTTTTTTTTTGGTCCAGTCGTGGGACCTGAACTCTGGGCCTGGGTGCTGTCCCTCAGCTCTTCAGCTCAAGGCTAGCGCTCTACCACTTGAGCCACAGCACCACTTCCGGCTTTTTTCTTTTTGCTTATGTGGTGCTGAGGAATCGAACCCAGGGCCTCAGGCATGCAAGGCAAGCGCTCTACCACTGGGCTACCTTCCCAGCCCTGTTATGTATATTTAGTGCCTTAACTATAATATATCTAGGATTTTTTTCTTCTCTGATCTTGACTGGTATTCTGAAAGCCTCCTGTACCTAGATGGATCTTGCCTTCTCAAGATTGGGTTGTTTTCTGCTATTATTTTATTTTCTGTGCCTTGAGCTTATACTTTTTCTCTCTTTTGTACAAAGATTCTGAAGTTTGATCCTTTAATGGTGTCCTAGAAATCTTATGTGGTTCTTTTATGTATTTTTTTATTATTTCTCTTTCTCTTTGCCTCATTGAACTAATCCTTTTACTTTATTTTTTATCTCTGACATTCTGTTTTCAACTTCATTCATTTTGTAAACAAGGCTTTCAAATGAGATTTTTAGTTGGGTTATTGAGCTATTAATTTATAGGACTTGAACTCTGGGCCTGGGCGCTATTCCTCAGCTCTTCAGCTCAAAGCTAGTGCTCTACCACTTGAGTCACAGTGCCACTTCTGGCTTTTTCTGAGTATGTGGTGCTGAGGAATCAAACCCAGGGCCTCATGCATGGGAGACAAGCACTCAACCACTGAGCCACCTTCTCAGCCCCCCCCCCCCCCCCCGCCCCGAGGTTTGTTTGTTTGTTTGTTTTGTTGGTTGTGGGGCTTGAACTCTGGGCCTGGGCGCTGTCCCTCAGCTCTTCAGCTCAAGGCTAGCGCTCTACCACTTGAGCCACAGCGCCACTTCTGGCTTTTTCTGTTTATGTGGTGCTGAGGAATCGAACCCAGGGTCTCATGCATGCACTGAACCACCTTCCCAGCCTTTTTTTGTTTTGTTTTTTGGCTTTTGTTTTTTTGCAGAGGTTTGCTTCTTAAGGTTAGCTCTCTACCACTTGTACCACAGCTCCCATTTCATCTCCTGTGGTTGATTGGAGACTAGTCTCATGGACTTTCCTGTCTAGGCTGGTTTCAAACCATAATCCTTGGGTCTCAGCCTTCTAGGGAGCATTAATCATCCAGTGTCCAACACATGTCAGTTTTAATTTTGTTCATTATTCTTGTTCTTTTGAGCTTATTTTTTTGAAATTTCTTCTGCTTTGCAGTGTTGATGCTCTTTTTTTTCCTTTTTTTTTTTTTTTTTGTTGTTGTTGCTTGTAGGGCTTGAACTCAGCCTGGGCACTGAGTTCTTTTGCTCAAGGCTAGTGCTCTACTACTTTGAGCCACAGCACCACTTCTGGTTTTCTGGTGGTTCATTGAGATAAGCGTCTCATAGTTCTTCCTGCCTGAGTTGGCTTTGAATCCCTATCCTCAGATCTCAGCCTCCTGAGTAGCTAGGGTTTCAGGCGTGAGCCACCAGCGCCCGGCATGTTCAACGGTTGACTTTTAGAACACTGGTTTTTTTTCATATTACTTGTGTTTCTTTACTGGGGTTTATGCATCTGAAACCAAAGTTTTAATCACCTGGAATTTTTAATCACCTGTGGACGTTTAGCTGAATTGTCTCAGGTTCAAGAGGAGAGTAACAGCTGAGCTCTGGACATTTGCTTAGTGCTCACCCAGCACTACTAAAATCGGTGTAAATTGGCTGGAGTGCCTTGTGGGAGGCTAGCTGTAGGTACAGAGGCTTCCGTTCTTTGGGTGCTGGAACTGCTGTTGGCCGCTGGGAAGATTCCCACCTGCTCTGCAAGCTCCCTGGTTTTTTCCTGGGTGGGCAGGAGAACCACATCACTCTGCTTACTGACCCCATACACAGTTCGTGACCCTGTGTGAAGGAGGGAGCCATGAGAGTTTGGCAGTTTTTTTTTTTTGGTCGTTTGTAGGGCTGTCCCTCAGCTCCTGATCCACAGCGCCCACTTTGGCCTTTTCTGTGCATGTAATGCTGAGGAATTGAACCCAGGGCCTCATGCCTATGAGGCAAGCACTGAGCCACTTTGCCAGCCCTGGCAATTATGTCTCAGGGAAGGTCTTACTGCCTTTGTTTTGATAAGGTAATGAAGAATTTACTTAACAAAGGGAAAGTAAAGCCCTTGGAAGAGCAAGCAGCAGGACTAGGACCAGCAACCCATTGTCCCTGGGTCTTACTGCTTCCTGGGGCTCTTTATTTTTTGGGGGTTCCAGTCATGGGGCCTGAACTCTGGGCCTGGGCGCTGTCCCTCAGCTCTTCAGCTCAAGGCTAGAGCTCTACCACTTGAGCCACAGTGCCACTTCCGGCTTTTTTTTTCTTTTTGCTTATATGGTGCTGAGGAATCGAACCCAGGGCCTCATGCATGCAAGGCAAGAGCTCTACCACTGAGCCACCTTCCCAGCCCTGCTTTCTGGCTCTTCCCAGCAGTTCTTCTCCTTGCACAGAGGAGGAGGAAGCAATGGTTGGATCTGAACTCCAGCCTTGACTTAGCTGGCAATCAAGTACAAGCAGCCGAGCCAGGCCTGGAGGCGTGGTGCTTTGCTTCTGCCTCAGCCTCGATAGTGGAGTCCAGTCTTGGCCTCCCACCACAGGTGCCCACAGTGCCAGCCTCCATTCCCCACAGACTCAATGTCCCCCTTTCGCCTCCTTTTCAGCCAGTTCCATGGCTATGTGCCAGGGTGTCCCAAGATTCTCTGAGCTGTACCAGCTCCTTATTTTCAGGTCCCCAGAGTTTCAAACAATAGGCCCTCTCTTCATAGCCCTGCTATCACGCACTCTGATAAAGGGAAGCCTTCTACCCCACAGTCTACTGTCTTACTGGATTCCAGCCTGGTTTGAAGCTTAAGGAAGGTAGAGGCTTCTCTTGCAGCTGGAATTAGATCTGTGCCTGCGTGTCTTCTGCTTCTCCTCCTCCTCCTTGGGAACTGGGGATGGAACTGTGCTGCTATTCTGTGCTGCCTCATTTTCTCTGGGCTTTTCTTCTTTTCTTTTGTCAGTCGTGGGGCTTGAACTCTGGGCCTGGGCACTGCCCCTGAGCATTTCAGTTCAAGGCTAGCGCTCTGCCACTTGAGCCATAGCGTCACTTCTGGTTTTCTGGTGGTTAACTGGAGATAAGAGTCTCATGGACTTTGCCACCAAGGCTGATTCTCAGATCTCAGCCTCCTGAGTAGCTAGGATTACAGGCGTGAGCCACCAGCGCCCGGCTCAAACCTTGGAACTTCTAATCCACCATCCTGCACATCCTCTTGTTTTTTTTTGTTTTTGTTTTTGTTTTTTTGGTCCGGTTGTGAGGCCTGAACTCTGGGCCGGGGCGCTGTCCTCTTGATAACACAGTTTTTAAAAGCTCCTTAGCACAGTGGCTCTTGCCTGTAATCCTAGCTACTCAGTTCAAAGCCAGCGCAGGGCAAAAAGTCCACATGAGATGCTTATCTTCTAACTAACCACTCAAAAACCAGAAGTGGAGCTATGACTCAAAGTGGTAGAGTACTAGCCTTGAGCAAAAGAGCTCAGGGATGGGTCCAGGCCCTGAGTTCAAGCCCTACAACCACCAACAACAAAAATGGTTATTGAGAAGAGTACAAGCAAACAGGAAGGCCCTCATGCTCCCTGTTCCCAGCTTGGGCCCCAGAGGCCACAGCTTTTTCTGGCTTTAAGAGTTTGTCCGGCCGGGCGCTGGTGGCTCACGCCTGTAAGCCTAGCTACTCAGGAGGCTGAGATCTGAGGATCACGGTTCAAAGCTAGCCCGGGCAGGAAAGACTGTGAGACTCCTATCTCCAATAAACCACCAGAAAACCGGAAGTGGCGCTGTAGCTCAAGTGGTAGAGTGCTTGCCTTGAGCTGAAGAGCTGAAGGACAGTGCCCAGGCCCAGAGTTCAAGCCCCACGACCGACAAAAAAAAACAAAAGAGTTTGTCCTGGGCTGGGAAGGTGGCTCAGTGGTAGAGCGCTTGCCTTGCATGCTCGAGGCCCTGGGTTCGATTCCTCAGCACAACATAAGCAAAAAGAAAAAAGCCGGAAGTGGCGCTGTGGCTCAAGTGGTAGAGTGCTAGCCTTGAGCTGAAGAGCTGAGGGACAGCGCCCAGGCCCAGAGTTCAGGCCCCACGACCGGACCCCAAAAAAAAAGAAAAAAGAGTTTGTTCTTACAGATGACCAGTGAATGAAAGTCTTTTCTCACGTTACATACCTGGCGCGGTGCTCCCCCTGCCTCTCACCTACATCTCGTACTGTGGTCTGTCTGTGGTCTCACACTTCTTTTTTTTGATCAGTTGTGGGGCCTGAACTCTGGCCCTGGACCCTGTCCCTCAGCTCTTCAGCTCAAGGCTAGCGCTCTACCACTTGAGCCACAGTAACACTTCCGTTTTTCTGGTTGTTAATTGGAGATAAGAGTCTCACAGACCTTCCTGCTCAGGCTGGGTTTGAACCTTGATCCTCAGATCTCAGCCTCCCTAGTAGCTAGGATTACAGGTGTGAGCCACCAGCACCAGCGGTTGGATACTTCTATAAGTTCAAAACCTTTATATGTATAGTAACTTGATAGTAAAGTATGTTATACCTTGAAGTATTTACCAAAAATCACCAAATAATGTTGGCAATATCCTAGCTAAGTAACTATGACTCACTAGAGCTGCACCAAGGAGAAGTATCTAATTTGACTTGTCTTTTCTTGGGCTTTGCACAGGTAGCTCTGAAAATGGAAGGAATGGCAAGCTGGTGGGAGGGATTTTCCCATCTAGAAGGAGAAGCCCTCCATGCAGTCCAGCTCTAGGACCGGAGACCACTCCTCACGGCCACCTGCGGCAACAGGGTGGACTGTCCCTTCAGAGTGCCTGTCTCTGGTTCCTTCTGTCCTTGGGAAATTAAGTCCCACATGCATCCTTGGTGCCTTCTGGGATAGTCCTGATGAGGGAAAACATAAACTGGACTTGAACCACTGCTGCAAGAAGGTCTGCGGCCAGATCCTGGCCTGGTCACTTTCACAGGTGGCCAGAGCCGCGCTGGGCCCTGCGGAGGCTGTGGCCCGTGCCTGCCGCTGCCCCTCGTGGGAGCAGGGGTGTGGCTCACGCCTGTGCTTCTTCCTCAGGTGGATGAGCTACTGGCAGCTGCCGACTTCGGACCCCCAGATGAGAAGGACGGTTTGGCACAGGCTGATTTGAGGTGAGGCTGTGGACACAGGTGTACTTCCCAGGGCAGATGTCCAGATGGGAAGGTGCTGTTTGCTTTGTGCTCCCACTGGCAAGCCTTGCCCCGGGGCTCGCACCTGTCCACACTCAGTGGCCCGCGGCCATGTAGCCACAGTAACACAGCCGCTACTCTGTGGGGCTCCGGTCTGGTCTTCTGTGACTTGGTGTACTTCTGCCATGGGTTTGCAGCAGGCCAGTGGCCTCTAGTTACAGACCTTGCTGTGCTGGGAGGGCGGTGGTGGCATCCCTCTAGCGTGCTGTAGGAGGAGCTGGGCAGGAAGAGGCGGAGAGAGTTAGTGAGTACAGGAGTACCTTGAGGCATATTTGAGGTATTTGTGGGGGACCCTGCTCCCGGGATGGCATGCCCTGGGCAGAGCAGCATCTGTCCCTGACACTTGTCAACCCCACATGGCCACTTGGAGATCTGAGATCCAACCGGTGTGGTGGTGCCAAATAGAAAGCCTGGGACTGCATCTAGCCTGGCTTCGCCCAGACCCGTGGCAAGCCAGTGCAGGGAGCAGGTACCAACCTAAGGTTATAAGATCTCCTCGAGCCAACGTTCTCAGGCGGTGTTCTCAAGAGTGGATTGTGCTCGGGACCCTTGAGCTGGTGAGGGCTCTGAGCCCGCCTGTGACTGTCTAGCTGCTGTGCTCGGATGAGGGAGTTTGGTGTGCGACTGGCTGCCCACTGGCCCAGAGAACCAAAGCTGGAATTAACCTTCTTCGCACAGCAGTCTCCAGGCTCCCTCCGATCATGTCAGGAGTGTGCACATGTGGGTGATGTAGTATGTCGGGCAGCAGCGCTCTGGTCTGGAGCTTGGCTCTTGCTTGGTGTAAAGGCTTCCTTCTCTTGCAGGAATCCAGGTGCCCTGTCACCAAATGATTCCCGGGGACCTGCTGTGCACTCATGTCTGTGTGGGATTGATCATGAGGCACTCAACAAGAAAGTAATGGAGTACAAACGGCGGAAGGAAAAGGGGCTCAGGGGTGTGGAGTTGGTGCCGCCGCTGCAGGACCAGCAGCAGGTGGCTAGGCTGACACAGCCGGTAAGGAGGAAAAAGAAGTCTCTGCCCTGCCAGGACTGGGATGCCACGCCTGGGAGTGAGGAGGAGGAGGGGGAGAAGGGACGTGGGAAAGGCACCGCGGGGTGCTGAGCAGAGGAGCTGCGGGCCGGGAGAGAGGTGGGGCACAGGCCTCCCCAGGGTGCCTGGGAGCATTGTGCGTGTATGCAGAGGAGTCTGCACGGTGATCCTCAGTGCTGGTGTGTCCGTTCTGCTGCTGGACATTCAGAGCTTTACTGTATATTTAAATACAATTTGCTACCAAAGCTCACAGTTGATTTGTTTCTCTATTCTCTTAACACTCTACTAAAAAAGAAAGGGAGGGAGGGAGAAAGGAGAGAGAAAGAAAAGTGGCTGGCTTGTCACCAAGATCCTCTCAAACATGGCAACAGTAAAATCGTGTTTCACACAGCTCTGCCACGGAGTCAGAGCTGAGCTGCAGCTACTGAGGACGGTCCACAGGCTTGCCTTTGCTGGTGTCAGGGCTCGGGGTGGGCCCTGACCGTGGTCTCTCAGCACAACTGTGCTGCAGTTCTACCATGGTTGGACAGGAAGGTGACGTGAGTTTGGATGGTCACTTGGGTGACTCCAGTTGGGTTAACTCTGAAGGACTGACAACTCTACTTGGTGCCTCTGTCCACCTGGTGATTGCTCTGGAATCCACTCACATGTCCAACCAACTCGCTTTTTGCTCTGTAGGGAGTGTCTGACTCCCAGACCTAAGAATGAACACTTGCTAAATTCTCTGCATCAGCTCTGAAGTAAGGACTCCCATTATCAGAGAGAAAACATGTTCCAACTTATAAATATCTGTCACTTGATTTTAAACAACAAAATCATCCACAAAAGGTACAAAAAGTTAAAAAAATAAAAAAGACACGTCAACCATGGACTGGATGAATGCTTGCTTGTGGTGTGGGCAGGAATAAGAACACAGCTTGCCACCTTGCATAGCTTCAGCTGGGAGTGTGTGTTGAGTTGCAATTCCAGTTGCTCTTTGTGTATACCTTCAAATGATTGGCAGTGCTATGGTGACAATCCATGGACAACTGTCAGCAAGAGCTGACAGCTACTAGTGACAGCTGGTCAGTGGCATACACCCTGAGACCAGGGTGTTCTCATTTTGAGATCCTTAGATAACTCTGTCTGTGGAGACCATCTTCTCAAGTGAGTTCAATCCTAAGACTTGTAAGGAGGTGGATTTGGGGGAAGTGTGTCTGTGCATTGCCGACTTGGAGATGCAAATGCTTCTGTCCAAAAGACAGGCTTTTTTTTTTTTTTTTTTGGTAGGTCGTGGGGCTTGAACTCTGGGCCTGGGCGCTGTCCCTCAGCTCTTCAGCTCCAGATGAGCGCTCTACCGCTTGAGCCACAGCACCACTTCCGGTTTTCTGATGGTTTATTGGAGATAGGAGTCTCATAGACTTTCCTGCCCGGGCTGGCTTTGATCCGTGATCCTTAGATCCCAGCCTCCTGAGTAGCTGGATTATAGACAGGCATGAGCCACTGGCACTCAGCAAGACAGGGTTTTTTTTTGTTTGTTTGTTTGTTTACAAACTGACAAAAGCAAAGCCCTTTCTCAAGCCCTATCATTGCCGTGCCAGAATGGGTTCCCTTGGCGCCAGGCAGGGGCCTGCTGGCAGCGCTGCTCTGTGGGGCACTCTTCTCCCTGGGCTGTATGGTTGCTCTTTATGTGAGGCTCAGGGCACGGGAAAAGCACAGTGCGTTTTGGAGAGCAGCGTGTGTGATGAGTCTCTTCGTTGTCAGACTAGCCCACAGCCTCAATTTTTCCTTGGACTAAGTCTTACTCTTGTAATAGTGATCAGGGATCTTATAGACAAACCTAGATAAATGGAGCACAAATGGAAATTCAGTATGCATAAATTTATTGAGTATATAACACACAAAATTACAATTTTCTGGAGTATATTTTCTGTATTGCTGAAGGATTTGAGAAAAGAAATTAAGAGTTAATCATTCATTTGGATTCCCTTGTCTCAAAAGTGTGTTACACAGCAGAATTAATAACAGGGTTTACATTTTATTTCTCATACCATAATAGAAACAACAAGATACATAACACATAAGGTAGAGATTTCTCATAGCCCTGCTCTGCCTCGGCAGCCCGCAGCAGAGTCTACATTCGTCCTCACTGCATAAGCCTCCTGGAATAACAACTATGATTTAAAGGTTTAGAGTACAACCAAGAATTACAAATGGCAAGAAACAATTGCCTCGTAATTACTTACTAGCTAGTCATCTTTAGAAAATCCAAATTAGATTCAAAGAAAGAAAATCTTGTTACGTTTACAGATGCATTTTTGTTTTGGTATAACAGTGATAACTTCAGAATAGCAAACCTTCATTAGAAAGGCCTAGAAATTCAAGGAAGGCTGGTGAATGTGTTCCCTGCTGTGGGTTTCCCCTGGCTTTCTTCCTTTAGCCATCAGAATGCACAGCATTGGTTTTCCTTCCTTCCTGGTTTAGTGGAAGAGCCAGCAGGGAATTGTAGTCTGTACAGCTTGAAGATGGCAGAATGGGATGATAAAATAAAAACGTCCTGACAAATAGGGTCAGTGTGCTACAAAAGAATGAGGAACTAAGAACATAGCAACGTTTTGACTCTGACAACCTTTGGAAAGGGAAAGGAAGCCATCTAGTTCCCCTATTTAACCCAAGGCCAAGGTCTGTAAAGGCAGCACAGGTTGACTGTATTAGAGTTGAAGTTATGAAACTCACTTCTGGATCTCATGAAATGGACCTTTGTTTCAGGACTCACATGTCTCTGTTTGAAACCCTACTGTATGCCAGATCTGGTGGCATGTGCCTCAGTTCCCGCTCTGGAGGCAGAGGTGGGAGGTCACCTCATACCAATGAAGAAAGGAAGTAGAAATTGCAGTTCTTAACCAGATTCATCAGACAAACACTCCTCAGTACTATAATAATACAATAATAATAGCAGCGTCATCCAAAGCAAAAACAAGAACAGGTGCCGGTGGCTCAAGCCTGTAACCCTAGATACTCAGGAGGCTGAGATCTGAGGATCACGGTTCAAAGCCAGACCAGGCAGGAAGTCCACGTGAGACTTTTATCTCCAATAAACCACTAGAAAACCGGAAGTGGCGCTGTGGCTCAAGCGGTAGAGTACTCGCCTTGAGTTGAAGAGCTCAGGGACAGCCCAGGCCCAGAGTTCAAGACCCACGACCACCCTCTCCCCGCCAAAAAAAAAACAAGAACACAATATAAACAACAAAACATAGTATTAAATGAGACATAGACCAAATGGACCTAGTAGACATCCACAAAGTATTTCATCCAGTGTACATATTGTTCTCAGAAGTTCATGGATTTTTTGTTGTTGTTGTTGGTCATGGGGCTTGAACTCTGGGCTTGGGCGCTGTCCCTCAGCTTTTCATCTCAGGCTAGCACTCTACCACTTGAGCCACAGCACCACTTCTGGTTTTCTAGTGGTTTTATTGGAGATAAGAGTCTCACAGACTTCCCTGTCCGGGCTGGCTTTGAACTGTGATCCTCAGATCTCAGCCTCCTGAGTGCTAGGATGACAGGCATGAGCCACTGGCACCTGGATAAGTTCATGGATTTTTCTTCAAAATATATTGTAGGACATAAAGCAAATCTTAGCAAATACAAGAAAATTGAAATAACTCCCTTTGTTCTATCACACTATAATGCAATCAAACTAGAACTTACAGAAGATACTTAAACACATGAGACTGAACGGCACATTGTTGAGTGGTGAGTAGGCCACTGAAGAAATAAAGAGAAATTAAAAATTCCTGAATCTAACGCAAATTCAAAAATGACCTATCGGAACCTTTGGGGTATAGCAAAGGGAATGGTAAGAGCGAAGTTTATAGTTTGAGTACACATATTAAAAACAGATCTCTCAAATAAGAAGCAGAAGAAAAGAAGAGATTCAAAAAAGTTGGAGGGGCTGGGAAGGTGGCTCAGTGGTAGAGCGCTTGCCTTGCATGCCTGAGGCCCTGGGTTCGATTCCTCAGCACCACATAAGCAAAAAGAAAAAAGCCGGAAGTGGTGCTGTGTCTCGAGTGGTAGAGCACTAGCCTTGAGCTGAAGAGCTGAGGGACAGCGCCCAGGCCCAGAGTTCAAGCCCCATGATCGGACCCAAAAAAAAAAAAAAAAAAGTTGGAGATTAAAAGAGGAATAACACAAAAATAACAAATACACAAATGAGGGAATACTTCAAAAACCTATCCTCAAAGGAACTTGAAAGTTTAGAAGGGATGGGTAAATTTATAGATACCATTGACCTACAGAAATTGAGCCTAGGGGCTGGGGAGGTGGCTCCGTGGTAGAGCGCTTGCCTTGCATGCACGAGGCCCTGGGTTCGATTCCTCAGCACCACATAAGCAAAAAGAAAAAAGCCGGAAGTGGCGCTGTGGCTCAAGTGGTAGAGTGCTAGCCTTGAGCTGAAGAGCTGAGGGACAGCGCCCGGGCCCAGAGTTCAGGCCCCACCACTGGGCCCCCCCCTCAAAAAAAAAAAAAAACAAATTGAGCCTAAAGGCTCAAACAGATGCCTGTCCAGATGGAAACAGTGATAACGGATCTACCAACAAAGAAGTCCGGGATCGGACTCACATCCCGTGTCAGGAGACTGGGACGGCTCTAGAACTAGCCCCACCCAGTACTCCATCTCTCTCCATGAAATACAAAGAGAAGGAACTCCTATGAGGTATTACACTCATTCTAACACTGACCAGAAATACACAGAGACTTATAGGCAATTGCTTTCATGAACAATGATACAAAAATTCTCAGTAAAACTCTTGCAGGTCAAATTCAATAGCACATTCATAATCAGATGCCATGGTCAAGTTGGTTTAATTCCAGGGATGCATATGTAAACCAATAAGTGTAATATGTCACATAAAGAAGACATGCGTGAAAGCTATAGGATGATCTCAGTTGATGTAGAAAATGCTCTTTGAGCCACAATTCCACTTGTGGATTTTTGGTGGATAATTGGAGATAAGAATCCCACAGACTTTGCTGTCCAGGCTAGCTTTTAACAGCAATCTTCAGATCTTTGCTTCCTGAGTAGTTAGGATTACAAGGCATAAGCCACCAGCACCTGGCTCAATATTTGTATTTTTTTCCCCCAGTCTTGGAACTTGAATTCAGGGCCTGGGCACTGTCCTTCAGCTTTTCAGCTCAAGGTTAGCACTCTACCACTTGAGCCACAGTGCCACTTCTGGCTTTTTCTGTTTATGTAGTGCTGAGGAATGGAACCCAGGGCCTC